GCTTGTCAAAAAAGTTAGTAAGGATTATTTGACTGCCAACCAAGTTAAGGTATCTTTGCAAGAGGACGCCCAAGTGTACATGTTGTTAGCTTATTTGAATTCTGAGAGTAATGGTTTGGTGAGTGAACTACCTGTTATGTGTGACTTTTCGGATGTGTTCTCTGATGATATGTCTAGCTTACCACCTAGAAGATAAGTAGAATTTTCCATAGACTTATCACTCGCCACGTCCCCACCAATCATCAAGTTGTAGATCTCTTTACTAAACCTATGTCAAAGGCTACACTTATGCATTTTTGTCCCAAACTCTGCCTTCAACCTCGGCCTCGTTTGCGGGAGGGTATTAATAATATCAAGTAAGACACAATCAATGGGATTAAATTGACAGATAAAGAGCAAACAGAATCAGCTATTATTAAGGAAATAGATTGCTACAAATCAAAAACAAATCAACCACTATTCAGGAAATCTGGTGCAGCAAATCAATTACAATTTGGATTGTTTTATTTCAAATAATGGAGCATCATTTGCTACCTTATTTAGAAATCAGCCTTTATCACTATTTGTAATATATTTATCCTCCGACCCTCTGCTTTATGCAGTGTTCACGTTTCTGTTTTACAAAGATTAAATTCACCTTCCAATTTTCTTCTCAATGTGGTTGTGAGATTTCATACTTTTAGCCAAGCATATTTTATGAATTAGTTAGGTTGGTATATTTGATGACAAAGAGGGAGACACTTTGGGTTCAGAATTCAGATCCTCAAAGACAAGTACCATGGAAAAGGCATCACATATATATTTGTTTAGATATAAGTTTATGAGAGTTTTTGAAATTTTTTATTAAATAAAGAACTTTTTTGGGTAGACTTTTCAGCAATACTTCTTATTTGTATCCATAAAGGATTTTATTCTAATCCTGCATTTCACATTCGGCATAGGGCAGCAAGTGAAATAATTTCATGTTATTCATGAATAGAAAAGTATGAATGAACACTAGACCAACTTAGAATGAAATCTACAGTTAATGGCAGAATTCTGGACGACTTAATAACAATTCAAATTGGTTGGGAGCTTAGATATGAGAAAACTAAAGACAAATAGAATGAAATTTTAATTATATTTTCTTTTACTGTGTTTGGATATAATACTTTAAATAGGAAATGTATTTTAAGAAAGGATTTCAATTTTTTTTGTGATAAAATTATCCATTTGGATATATTATTTGAAGGGATTTAAATTTTTAGAAATTCATGCGATAATTTTAATTAATTATAGAAACAGGAGGATTTCAATCCCATCTAAAACATAAGAATTTTGAAATTCCTCCCGTCTTCACTCATTGTCACTCGTTGGCTCGCTCCCTGCTCTAGTTGTTGGCGCCCTCTCTCATTCGAGCTCTCTCTCTCTCTCTCTCACGATCTCCCTCATTTGAGTTCTCTCTCTCACTTGACTTCTCTCGTCACATTTCGCATGCTGGATTCTTGGTTTGTTTCTCTATAATTTGTCTATGCATTTCTTGTAATTTCTGATGTCTTCCATATCTAGAGTTTTTTTTGTGTTTTATTTTTAATTTATCTCTTATTTGTCTCTATGTTTCTTCTCATCTACGATGTATTCTCTAATCGAGGAAACTTTTGGGTTTTTTTTACATATTTGGTAATTTGATTTCCATTTTTATGGATTCTCTATCTTTACAACTTTAAATAGTTGTACTAAAGTGGTATTTAATTTATTGTTTTGGATATTTGTGCGTCGTGAAAGTGGTTGTGATTTATGCAAGATGATTTATTGTACTCTGTATTTCTTGCATTGTAGTTACCTAACTAGCTTATTTGGTTTGGGTATAAATATGTGTTTGCATTGTAGCAATTTTGATTTTCAGAATTCTGATTGCAATTATATAATATATGGTTTTAGTTATTAAGATATCTAATGCATGATAGGAAGTTCTATGATGAATTATGGTTATGATTAAAGTCAAATCATAGAAACTTGTCTTTGTTGAGTGAAACATTATTCCAACATCAAATTTAAGGTTAATATCGTAACCAAAAACTTGATGACGGATAGTTCTCTTTCGGTGTTGCGCTATGATTTGGACATATTCATTATAATAGGTAAAAGTTTCTGACATGTGATTCTAAGGATGTAATTGTGCATGCAGAACAGAAATGGTTTAGGGTTTAGGGACTATACATTAATGGTTGTACAAATTATATATTAATTGGTTCATGGTGTTGATAGTTATTGCTTGTTATAGACACGTACATATTATATATATATGATTTTTCTTTTTGCAGATTTATCAGATTTCACAATGATGAAAATGGAGAGAAACAATTATATCAGAATTGAAATTTGGTATTATAAACTAGGACAGTGAAATAGTTATGTCTAAGAATACTACAGGGGTTTTGGTTTTGCAAGGAGAGGTGTAATTAACATTAGTCACCCAAAATCTTCCTTGCTTTTCCAACCATAATTTAAATATCACTACACCAAAATTAATTTTTTATGCCAATTAACTTATTATTTAGTTGTCATATAAATAGTCATTATTTTTTTTACCAGCATTTAAATAAAGGCTAGTGTATCCAGTATCACTAATACTATTACCGGCATTTATATAAAATACCTGTAAAGATCTACTAAATTGTCAGAAAAACTTATTTTTTTTAGTGACAATTCTAGTAGCCATTTTAAAGGCTATTAAAAGTTATTTTTTTTTCAATTGTCTCCTTTACTCTAAATAATTTATTCCTATAATTTTCTTTTCTAAACTCATAACTTATATACTTTTTTTTATCTCTACTCGATGTGGGATTTGTAAGATGAGGATTGTCTTTTATTTATATATTTTTTAATTTATTTTTTTAATTGTCTTATCTCTTAATAAGAAATGTGAGATTTATAAGGTGAAAGTTGTTCTCTAATTGTTTTATAACACTATTGAATTTGGTAATAATAGGTGATTTGATACTAATTTAGAATAGTGAATTAGGAGTCAACCCTATAAAATGAACGTGTAAGGTGATAGTTATTACTCACTTAACGAAGCAGAATGGTTTGTTCTGCAAGCAGAATGGCCTGTTCTGCATGCAGAACGACCGGTTCTCTAAGTAGAACGGGTCGTTCTGCTTGCATTCTTATGTTTTTTTTTGTTTTTTTTTACTATTATATATTAGCCATTAATATTTTTATATATGGCGGCAATTAAATTATTATCATTAAATAATTGTCATTAGTAACAAATTTTGTTGTAGTGCATGTTTATTATTTTGTAATTAGTGTTCAAATTGAATAAGGAGCGTGTCAATTGTGTGTTATATCTTTGGAGTGACCAAGATTAATTATTGAAAGATAAGAGGTGAAAGTTTTAATTTAGGTAATATTAAATGTTTTAAAAACATTGAGGAAGTTTTGGTTAAATGATTATTTAGGTGAATGACTAAAGATGCGGGTGGAACTATTTAATTAAAACCTAGCATCCATGCTGGAACCCATTCCACCTTTTTTATTATCTTATAAAAATGCTATTAGAACCATTTGGATTGTTTCCTCGTATATTATCCAATGTTAATTCCCATTCATGTTTTTTTTTTTCTTTTCATATGTGTTGATATCAGCCTCCTTACTTTCAAAGCTACTATCAGCTTGTTGATTTCCAATTTTTTTTTTGTGGTGATAGTTTATATTATGCGTCTTTCTTGCTGTTATTTCATGGTATATTGGAGCAATAATTATGTTGTGTTCCGTAGTAAACTATAAAAGAGAAATTGGGATATATTGCTTGTATTATTGTATAGTTGCTATGTTGTAGATTATATGAAGAGTTATAGAACTTGAGAAAAGAATTGTAAAAAGAAAAAAGAGAGACAGAGAGATCAAAGGAAAATTCAATTTCATTAATTAAGGTTTCTCGAATGCCTGAAAATACCTTTTGCCAATGAGATAAAAAAAAATCAATTTCTATCTATAGTGCACTCTATGATCTATTCATGCATAGTATCATCAGTATATATAGCAAAATTAAGGTTCTAAGTAAAGAAAAAAATTGTAAAATGTAAAAAGTTAAGGTAAGTTTGTCAATAAGTAGAAATTTGGATACCTTGAATTAGCTTTGATTTTAGTTCCTCTTTATGTATGTGATACTTTGAAATTCAATGAAGAATATGTCATAAAATACTCTTACAAATGTTGATATTTAAAATCTTTATTTTATCTTGTAAAAGCTTCAACATTAATATTAAGAGTTATTGTAGTAAATATCAAGAGGTTTACTCATATTTGTAAAATTTAGTTAGCAATAATGTTAAAATTATTTTTCATGTTCAATAAAAAAATTGACTTTTTTTAATTTAAGTAATATAAGTTATAAATGAATTTTTATTTATTTTAAATAAAATATTTTATAAATAAAAGAAATTAAAATGTTTTATTCAAATATAAAGTTTTAAACATTAATTAAAATAGAAAATTTAAGAAATGAAGAAATCTAATTACCTTATCTAAACATAAAATTTTGAAAATTAAAATTGTTAATTTCATTACCCAAACACAATAATTTAAAAATAAAAGAAAAACAATTAAAATTCTTATAATTTACAATTCTCTGGAATAATCTTCTATCCAAGCACATTATAGAAATATAAAAAGGATAAGTATATGTAGATACCTTAATATCACAAACACTATTGATGCTTATCATTTCATTTTATCTTTTCTTTCTATCCTAGTATATTATCTATCATACATCCATTCTCTCTTTCCCATAAAAAGGATAAGTATATGTAGATACCTTAATATCACAAACACTATTGATGCTTATCATTTCATTTTATCTTTTCTTTCTATCCTAGTATATTATCTATCATACATCCATTCTCTCTTTCCCTAATCACCCATTAATTCTCCCTAGTCTCATACACAATACTCCTTTCATTAAAATAAGCAGGTTTATGCATGCTAATTTACCCGAGAAAACAAAAAGAACGAAAGAAGAAAAACCAAGCCAATATTATTCCAACAGCCCCCAAACATCATAAACTGGACAAAAACTTTCGGGTTCATGTCACAAAAGGCGCGAGAAATTCGGCTGAGATGTAGGAAATTTCGTAGAGTTCTTTCCAGGAATATGCACCAATAGGATCTGTGTTTTTCTTCACAAAATCAGCAAAGTCATCAATAACCAAATTCCCATTACTGGCCGGTGCAGGCTCCGTTATTGTGCAGAAAAAATCGCTCAGTGATGGAGAAGTAGCTTGAGAACTGTTTTGGAAAGGGCTTGTAGAAACTTCCACGGAGTCCTTCTCTTGAATATTGGATTCAACTAGGGAGTGTTGTTGCTTTGACGGGGAAGATTCAGCTTTTTCGTTTGTTGCTGAATAGTGTTGAAAGCGCTTCTTAAGATGAGCGTGCCAGTGGTTTTTTATCTCGTTGTCTGATCTTCCAGGTAAGTGAGAGGCAATCATAGACCACCTTCAAGTGAAGCCAATTGCACTAAATTAACTTTGGTTTATATACACGTGTTGTATATTGTTAATTATATGTGTTCATCACTAGAAAGAAATTATAAATACTTATATATAGGAGAATACCAGTTAAAAATTCTGTTTGGACAAATAAGAAAAATAAGAAAATATGTTGACTGTGATGAATTATAGAAATTTCTCCATGCAAAAGCTAATTTCACCTGAAGAAACAATGCCGATTATATATTCTGGTTGAGCGTTAATTAAGTTCTCACAATTCAGGGTGTGTCATACCTATTGCCAAACCTTGCGTGCAGTTTGATAATCGTCTCTTCTTCTTCATCAGTGTAGTTCCCCCTTTTGATGCCTGGCCTTAAATAATTCATCCACCTCAATCTACAACTCTTTCCACACCTTGCAAGACCTGAAAACATATTGCACAATTATATTGGTTCTATACGGATTCAAGCAGGAGAATTTGAAAGTAATTTCCTCTTTTGATGTTTGACCTTGAATTGATCATTATGAATAAGACATATAACATAAACTGGCGATCGTATTGGAGATTCTGGAGAGTAGATCTGTGTTCTTAAACTCCCTCCCAGTTTATTAATTGGCTGTTTTTGTAGTTGCCTTATGTTAAAACACCGTAATTAAAAACTAAACGAGGTTCAAGACGTTGATATTTAAGTGACCATATATCACATTTTTCATAAAAAATAAATAGGCGAAACTATATTAAAATTTATGTATATCAAAAAAAAATACACACAAAATTTACACATGATGTGATCATGTAAAACTTATAACATAAAAGGATTCATTCCTGAATTGACACTACCAAAAATTTATGGTTGCTAATTGACACAAATAATTATCACACACATACTCTATATCCTAAATTCAAAATCTTAAACATGTGTACATGGTACACATACCTGCAAGCTTGGGCAGTTGGCGCCAATTCTCGTGGCCATGTTCGTTAACATAGGCAATCAACTTCATGTCTTCTTCTGGTGTCCATGTTCCTTTTCTCAGTCCACTTTTGTCACAGTTAGGGGTTCTCATCTTTCTCAACCTAACAAACTCTCTCACACTATATATATAACACTGTTAAGGTGTTGCAGTTGATTGTGCGTACGTGTGTGTGAGAGAGAAGAGAGTTTGGTAAAAGATACAAAGCCGCCAGACAGTTTCCCTATATATAAACAGATGAATGCGAACGAGGAATAATAGAAAGTAACAAACCTATGATTGTTTTGGTGCCAATAAATTAAGTACACTGGATAGGGAAACAGGCATTAAACAATTGCAAAATAGTAGCCCTACTTTTGTCTTCCAATGGGAATACTTGAAGCTGTCTTCCTAGGTTGTATTTTCGTTTACCCAACTACTCTGTTGAATTCGTTCTTAATTAGATGATTCTCTCAACGAAATCGCGTACCCTATTCAACTACGAACTTTGCATAGATCGTACTTTCTTCTTATAATAGTAATAATAAATAATATATATAAAAAAAAAGAGTAATGAATTACATTACGTGTATCTACTCGTTTCTGAATTTTTTGATGATTTTATTAAGACCTAGTATGTGTCGGCGGTGAGCACCATGCATGAGTGGAAACAATTGAAAAGGTGGACTAGAAAGAAGAGGGAAGACTCAAACACCGTGTTATCCATTAACTAAGAATAATGAAATTACGGGAAAAAAATCTCTATTATTAAAATAAAATTTTTGTTTATTAGATATAAAATAAAAAATAAAACTGAGACTTATTGACACACATAATTATCAAAGTGATATGAGCTGATTCAATAATTAAATTTGTGAATTGATTATTCTATAAAATGTTATTAAAGTGATAAATTTAAAAAAGAAAAAAAAAACTTTCCTGGAATAATTTGAGGTTCCCTGTTAGTTTATAGTCTTAGTCTTCTTGAAAATTGAAGTCTACTTATTTTATAAGCTCTGACTTTTCAAGGTGTGAAAAACATGCTCGCTTGTGGAACAAAAGTCTTTCCCTTTCACTCCTCAACCTAAATCAGACCACGGTGAGCATATAAGAAAATTATATGATATAAGAATACTGCACTGACCAAATCAAATCGCCCATTCTAACCCGGATCAAGAGGGTTTAATACTTGGATGTGTACGCTTAAACTTGGTTTTGGTTTGTAGTTATTATCTTTTCTTTTTTCCTTTTCTGTGACAAAATGGCTGTTTTTCTCTTTTGCTTTCTTAAGTATCTACTTATCATCTGTGTTAGAAGAAAATTCTCGATTCTCAAATAACTTTTTAAAGATCTTATTTGAATAAATTTCTTTATAAATATTTATAAAAGAAAAAAAATAGTAAAATGAATTAAATTTTTTTCATAAACTAAATAATCCAATATGCATTTTAGTTTGTGAAGAAGTTAAAGAGACGAGTTTTATAAAAGTTAAATGTGTAAGTTGATTTTATGTAATGGAAAAATCTCAAATCAATTTTTTTTTTCTTTTGCAAGTGCCTTTGAGAAAAAAGTTTATTCAAAATAAGACTAAACACATTTAGAGAATTTTAAAATAAGAAAATAAGAATTAAAAAAATAATGCTATTAATTTTCCTAATTAATATAATTATATGTAGATAGCTCTCAAATACAATGACAGAAAGTATAAGTGGAAGAGACTAATTTCCTATGACACGGCAAACTCTGTATCTACTTACCAACATTGCTAGAAAAATTTATATCAACATAAAAAATTATAAGCTGTTTTGTAAAGTTTCAGCTATGTTAAATGGAAAAGTTTTGAATTGCGATTTACCAAATTTTACACGGTGCAATCCGCTTAAACATTTCTTTCCAAATTAAAGTTAAGTGACCTGCACAATAATATGACTGAACGAGTTTTTATCAATCCTATACAAGGATTAATAGGTGATAAGTGCTATGATTTCATTAAGTTTATGACCTAGTTTGAAACACTTATATCAATTTTTCTTGTTTTAGACTTTGTTTTTAACTCAAAACATATCTAAATTGTTAGGTGATCATATTTTATTTTTGAATCATGTTTTTAGATAACTTACAAGTATTTAGTTGTTGTTTTGTAGTTTAGGAGAAAGCTAGGAAAGAAGGAAGGAAGTTAAGCACAAAGTGGTGAATTTGAAGTTGAAGGAATTTGTGGTTAAGTCCCCAGGCTAAGCCCCAGATCCAGGCTTAGCCTCAACTTGGCAAAGAGTCCCTGGAACAAAAATTCAATCCTCACGCTGAGCGTGGAACTGAGGCTGAGTGTGGGAGTCCCAGAACTTCATTTCACTCCAGACCTATCCCCAACCTTAGCGTGGCTCTTACGCTTAGCGTGGATTGTGCTGACATGTCATTATTCACATAAGACAAAAGCTTTTATGACCAAAAAGTAGAATTTTCGAGGAGAGAAGTAAGGAGGATCATTCTTGGAGTTTGTGTGGCGGCTAGAGAGCTCTGGAACCTTCAAGATCAAGCTTCTTCCTTTCTTCATCATTTGTAGAGTTCTATATGTCTATGTGTAGCTAAACTCACCCTTGTTGGGGTTTGATGTAACTAAACTCATTCTCATGTGTAAACTCTAAACTATAAATCTAAGTTGTTATTCAGTTTTATTGCTCTTTTTCTGTGCATAATGCTTGTTATGGCTTGATCACCCTTAACTTGAACTTAAGGTTTTTAAGAGATTGAGAAATGATTTTAAACCTTTGACTTGAAATAGAGCAGCTAATGGTGCTTATTGCTAGAGATAGAGTAAATGTCATTGGTCTTTCTTAAGCTCTTGTTTTTAAAGCTGGTTTCTTGGTTAAACTATGCAAGAGATTGATAGTTTAAGTTAGCAACTTAGATTCCAACTTGTAAGAGATTAGGGTTGGTTACTTTTGAGAGTGATTGATAAATTCTGAATAATAACTATTGTGAACTTAGTGATAAGCATGAGAGGAAGGTTTAGTGAAGTCAAACCCCAACAATTTATAAATATTGCATTAGAATCAAGTTTTGCACTCTAAGTGTTTACCAAAATACCAAAAAGAATTGTTATTGCTTGTTTACATTATTTACTGCAGCAAATCAAACTCTTATTGCTTTTCGGTAGCTTAGTTAGTATAACAAGTGAAATTGTAAAGTGGTGCGCAAGTCCCTTGGGAGACGATACTCATACTTTCATTGAACTACTTATACGATTTGGTACACTTGCCAAAGGAGATAACAATAGGTCTCACATGCATGCCAGAAATTAGTCAATCTCCTTGGCTTCCAAGTCTTTTTAGAAATGGACCACCTGAATTCGGATACAAAATATTTATAAATATTTACCAGTAGGAGAAAATATTGCAACCACGGAATGGCTTCAATCTTGACTGAAAAATTAACTATTTTACAAAATATCATAACATAAAATTTTAATATATACAACTATTTCATAAAATTAACTTATAAAAAATGAGTGATTGAATCATAACAAAAAAATAATAGAATGGCAAAGTGTAAAGTAGTAAAATTTAATTTAGAGTATCTAAATTATTATTCGAATCTGTGAATAATTTTATGTGTGAACTTGCATGCCACTAGCTCAACACCTACATGTTAAGCAATAGGGTTTGGGCCTCCTAGTAGCTACTATCAACTACAACTTTTTGAATGAGTCTGCAACTAGGCAGCATTGAATCCTAGTTATTAATGACTCTCTTGAAGCATGGATGAGTGAATATATATACAAGTTATCATAACTATGCATAATATTAATGAATAGTGAGTAAAAAATGGGAGAGGATTGTGTAGTCATATAGATATAGATGGTTAGCTAGGGTTTGTTTGACAGACCATTTCTATGGATTTGATATCTTTTTCCTCCCCTATATATATACATGTTTATCCTTCGGCTTATCTATTATACATAATAAATCGAAAAGTTAAATTATGTTATGACATCATTTACCGGCCGATATCTTCAGTTGCTAAACTTAGAAGATTAGTGGTAAACTTTTAGAAACCGTAAAGCTAAATAGTCATCTTAGCGACTACGTTTAGTTCAGTAGCTGAGCAAAACTGATCAAATCGGTCACAAGCAGAAATAAGTCCTAATATATGCGTTGTTGGTGGCATTGATTTATGGAATTAAACATGGCAATTGAGAGTTCCGTAACCAAATTCATCTCTAAGTTATAAATTATTTACTAAAAGAATGTTTACAAAAGGTGGATAAGTCCCTAAATTGGTTGAAACCTAGAAACCGACTATATTATATCACGAAATTGATCACTAAATTAATGATTTCCAAAAAAAAATATAAAATTTTACCTTTAAAGTCGTATCTTAATCTCTAAAATACTTTTATTCATTTAATTTTTTAAGATATGCATTTAAAACAAATGATAGGAATATATCAAACATAATAAATAATTTAATGAATACATTCATTTATAACAAAATGGTATGTTCAGTTTGATATGTAGATGTTCATAAGACTTTATCTAATGTTGATTTTATGTATTCTCAAGCAATCGTCTTATACATTAGTTTTTCTATACTTTACAAAAACAATTATGTTTATTATTAGGAGTTATAATTTGTCCTTTGATCTAACAAGGTCAATTTAGTACCTAATTATTATCTTTTCAATACTTATATTCCTTATTTATTAGAGTTTTATTTAATAAAGTTGTGAATGTAATTCTTTTCCAAGAGCTAAAGTTTTATTATACTTAATTTTTGTATTCTTATTATTTAAATTAAAATATTTTGGAGTAGAAAAGAATTACATTTAGTGATATAAAGCATGTTGGTCCACTCGACCAATGTATTATGTCTTTAATATGTTTTTTAGTTGTATTTTGTAAAAATGTTGACTAAATTGAAATTTTTTGTTTGTTTACTGTGTCAAGATCTTAATTGCTTCATTATAATTTATTGAGATTAGCAATTTTAATAATTTGTGCACTATGAATAAGAGACAACTTTGGCGAGTCTAAAACTAATGATCAAGAACAACAATCTCCCTTGCATCTTTTCCTTATAACCTCTCTAGTGAGCTTATTTCAAGAACATGTGTTTTGATGGATGAATTCTTTGGTTTGACATGCTAGAGTTGCTTATTTCTTATCTTGGTTGGGAAGTATGTGAAATTGTTCCTCATACTTTTGCTCTCATTTTTTGAGAACTATGATGTGGAGTGTCCTTTAAACTTGGTGTGATGTGGCCGTTGTGTTGCCTTGCTTGTTTTGTTGTTATTTTACTATTATTGTTAATAGATTAAGGAAGTAATGGATAGTAAAGACGAATGTGTGAGAGCTAATACTCCCCAGGCTATGACATAGGCTATGGGAATCAGAATCCGAGAACTGGTGTTGAGAAATTGGAAGAAGAATTGAGGTTCC